TCCAACATTGGCGTCTCTTATGTTCTCATGTTCCTTCCTTCAGGGTTGGGGACAGAGAGCGGCACTTGGGTGGGGGGAGTTATCCCAGCAGCATCCACTAGATACAGTGGTGGCGAACCTGTGGCACGGGTGCCAGAGGTGGCACTCAGAGCCCTCTCTGCGGGCACGCGTGCCATCACCCCAGCCAGGCCCAGACCATCATTAAAGTGTCGAATTCTCTGCCAAATGATTTAATGTATGAGTTGTTTTTTCTAAAGTAAAACCTCAGTATTCAGGTTAAATTGCCGTGTTGGCACTTTGCAATAAATAAGTGGGTTTTGGGTTGCAGTTTGGGCACTCGGTCTCTAAAAGGTTCGCCATCACTGCACTAGAATGTGTCGTTTCGCAGGGAGAGATTCTCTCCCCCATGTTGTTTAATATCTATATGCACCCCCTCGCCCAGGTTATCCGGAGATATGGGCTGGGTCATCACCAATGCTCCCTCTACGCTGCGGAGTCTTGTGAGGCAAAAATCCTCCTTTGTGAGCTCCTGGCATTAAAGTTCTGAGCGAGCGATTTGGCTACTGCATAAATCGATTTGCTCTGGAGCCATCCCTTCCTGAGCTGAGACAAAGATGTGTGAGCCGGAGGCTAAAAGACTGTGAGCTAGCTCACACTCACTCAGCTAAGAGGAAACACTGGTCATCACCAGTATGCAGATGACACCCAGCTCTACCTACTGATGGACGGCCGCCCGTACATGGCCCCAGGATACCTCAACGAGGCGTTAGAGGCTGTGGCTGGATGGTTACGACAGAGCCAACTGAAGTTAAATCCATCTATGGTAAGATGGAAGTCCTGTACCTGAGTCGTGGGGGATTGGGCCAGGGGATCAGGCTCCCAACCTTCGATGGGGGTTCCATGGGTGCCTACGTCAGGTGTGAAGAGTCTGGGGGTGCTCCTGGATGCCTCCCTCTCCATGGAGACCCAGGTCACCGCCACTGCCGGGTCTGCCTTTTTCTGTGAGGCAGATCAGGCAGTCAGCTCCGTATCTTACTCCCCAAAACCTAGCTACAGTGACCCATGCAATGGTCACTTCCAGACTGGACTACTGTAACTCTCTTTATGTGGGGCTGCCCTTGACTCTACTCCGGAAGTTGTAGCTAGTGCAGAATGCAGCAGCGCAGGTGCTGCTGGTGACGCCTGTGCGGGCTCGTATCCACCCAGTGCTGCGCGAACCGCACTGGCTGCCTATTGAATTCCGTATCCGTTTCAATGTGCTGGTGCTTACCTTTAAAGCCCTATATGGCTAGAGGCCAGCATACCTCTCCCCATATGAGTCCCGGAGGGCACTGAGGTCTACAAACCAACATCTTTTAGTGGTCCCCAGACCCAGGGAGGGGAAGGGAAAGGAGTTTGTAAGCCGCTCTGAGACTCCTTTGGGTAGTGAAGGGCAGGGTATAAATCCAATCTCTTTTTCTTTTACCTCACAGGGTGTCTGTTGTGGGGAGGGGAAGGGAAAGGAGTTTGTAAGCCGCTCTGAGACTCCTTTGGGTAGTGAAGGGCGGGGTATAAATCCAATCTCCTCCTCTTCTTCTTTTACCTCACAGGGTGTCTGTTGTGGGGAGGGGAAGGGAAAGGAGTTTGTCAGCTGCTCTGAGACACCTTTGGGTAGTGAAGGGCAGGGTATAAATCCAATCTCTTCTTCTTCTTTTACCTCACAGAGTGTCTGTTGTGGGGAGGGCAGGGTAAAAATCCCAATAAATAAATCCTCCAGAGATTGCTTAATTTCATGTCCGTTGCTTCGATAACACTGTCTAACCATCTCATCCTTTGTCATCCCCTTCTTCTTTGACCTCCAATCTTTCCCAACATCAGGGTCTTCTCCAGTGAGTGCTCCCTTCTCATTTGGTGGCCAAAGTATTTGAGCTTCCGCTTCAGTATCTGGCCTTCCAGGGAACAGTCAGGGTTGATTTCTTTTAGGATTTGCTTTGATCTCCTTGCAGTCCAAGGGACTCTTCTTCTTGCAGTCCAAGGGACTTCTCCAGCACCATAATTTGAAAGCATCTTTTCTTTAGCACTCAGCCTTATGGTCCAACTCTTGCAGCCTACTGAGAATACCATGGTTTTCTTCTTTTATAATTTGTTGTGATCCACAGAATCAAAGGCTTTAGCTAAGTCAATGAAGCAGAAGTAGATGTTTTTCTGGTACTCCCTTGCTTTCTCCATAATCCATCATATGTTGACAATTTAATCTCTAGTTCCTCTACCTCTTCAAAACCCAGCTTGTACTTCTGACAGTTCACTATCCACATACTGCTGAAGCCTAGCTTGTAGGATCTTGAGTATGACCTTGCTAGCGTGTGAAATGAGTGCAATTGTGTGATAGTTTGAACATCCCTTGGCATTGTCCTTCTTTGGGATTGGAATGTAAACTGACCTTTTCCAATCTTGTGGCCACTGTTGGCGTTTTCCAAATTTGCTGAATATTGAGTGCAGCACTTTAACGGCACCATCTTTTAAGACTTTGAATAGCTCAGCTGGGATACCATCACCTTAGCTAGCTTTGTTGTTAGTAATGCTTTCTAAGGCCTATTTGAATTCGCACTCCAGGATGTCTGGCTCGAGGTCAGTGATCACACTGTTGTGGTTGTCAAGGACATTGAGGTCCTTCTTGTATAGTTCTTCTGTGTATTCTTGCCATCTCTTCCTAATCTCTTCTGCTTCTGTTAGGTCCCTACCGTTTTTGTCCTTTATCATGGCCAGCTTTGCATGGAACGCTCCCTTGATTTCTCCAATTTTCTTGAAGAGATCTCTAGTCTTTCCCATTCTATTGCTTTCCTCTAGTATTTTGCATTGTTCATTCAGGAAAGCCTCCTTATCTCTCCTTGCTGTTCTCTGTAAATCTGCATTCAGTTGGGTAAATCTTTCCTTTTCACCTTTGCCTTTGCTTTCCTCTGCTATTTGTAAAGCCTCATCAGACAGCTACTTCACTTTCTTGCATTTCTTTTTCTTTGGGATGGTGCTGACTGCTGCCTCCTGTACAATGTCACGAACCTCCATCCATAGTTCATTGTCGTGGCTTCTGTGCAGTCCCACGTGGGAACTGCGCAGTCGCAGGCCAGCCACGGAAAAGATTTCCAAGCTTTCTAATAGACTAGGAGTGTCCCTCCTCCCTCTGGCGCTTTCCCACCAAAACGCTCACGTGACCAGGAGGAGGGGCGCTACTCCCTCAGTTCTCTCTTTGCCACTGCGGAGCGAGGATGTCCACTGCTGTCTTCTGTGTTTTTTCCTCACCTCGGTTCTGAGGCTGAGGAGACTTTTTTTATCTCAACAATAAAACACATCTAAAGAAGAAATGGTTAAATTTTTTAAATTTAAAAGTAAATGGAGGCAGTAGAAAGCAGGGTAATTGATAAATATTTAAGTATATATTTATTGATCCGGTAATTTATATGCTACCTAGTCGTAAAATATAGGAAAATGGTAAAAGCACAAAAATTAATCACCAGCTACAGTCAAACCCCGGAGCTGCGGTGGCTCAAGTGGTTAACACGCTGAACTGCAGGCTGTGGAGGTCAGTAGTTCAGCAGTTCAAGACCCGAGTGTGCCGCATGACGGAGTGAGCTCCCGTCTCTAGTTCCAGCTCCTGCCAACCTAGCAGTTCGAAAGCAAGAAATTGCAAGTAGATAAATAGGGACCACTTCGGTGGGAAGGTAACAGCGTTCCGTGCGCCTTGGCGTTTAGTCATGCCGGCCACATGACCATGGAAATGTCTTCGGACAGCGCTGACTCTTTGGCTTTGAAACGGAGATGAGCACCGCAACCCTAGAGTCGGATTCGACTGGCTTTCGAGCAAGGGAACCTTTACCTTTACCTTTACAGTCAAACCCAGGCTGATTATAACAGTTCCATAAAACTCAGGAAGGGCATAAAACCAGCTGCAAGCCGACTTGATGTCAATAAGAGTGTCCTCAGGCCTGGATATGCCTCAGCCTGGCATCGTGATTAAAAAGAAAAAGAGCCCCGTGCTTGGTTGCCTTAACTCGGCAGGGCGGGGCACAGACAGCAAGGCCGTGTCCTTTCCAGGTCCCTGGTCCCAAACCATTTAGGGCTTTATATGGTGTACGAACCAGCACTCTGAATTACATCCAGATACAGAATAGCAGCCGGTATGAATCTTCCAGCACGGGAGCGATAGGATCGCTGTATCCAACTCCCAGCAATAACCTGGTTACAGCATTCTGGACCGACTGAGGTTTCTGAACAGCATTCAAAGGCAGACGTACGTAGAGTGGGTTACAGTCATCTAACCGGGATGTTATCTGTGCAGGAATCACCATCGCAGGATCATGCATTAGGGCCATAGCTGGCGTATTGTCGAAGCTGATAAAAGGGGCTAAGTGAAACAAAGGAGACCCGATCTTCCAACTAAGGCCAGGGTACAGCAGCATCCCCCATGCCGTGAACCTGCTTCTTCAGAGGGAGTGCTACCCCACCCCCCCAGGTGAGCTGACCCCTCTGTCAGCTTTTGCCACTGATCCAACAGCAAGGCAGTTTTGTCTGGATCGAGTTTACTGGCCCTGGTCCATCCCGCTCCCTTCTTCAAAACTTCTGCAGACCCGTTGGACCCGACCATTATGGAGAAACAGAGATGGGGATCACGTGTGTATTGGTGGCACCTCTCCCCAAATCCCCAGACTGTCTCTCCCAGCAGCTTCATGTAGATTTTTTTAGACCGCATGGGGGACAAGATGGACCCCAGAGCGCGAATGCCATGGGACCAGACAGCAGGGCCCCGGCTCCTAGCGATGCCCCTGCTTCCATGCTTCTTATGCTGTTGCTTGCAAAGGAGCCCTCGTACCCAAAAGCCCTCCTGCAAAAACAAACAAACAAACCACAAGAAAGGAACGAAACTGTAGGGATATGGACTGTGCTCAATGGTACAATTTTATTTACTTAGACACTTTTCTGAGACTCTGCAGGGCTCAGACTGCTAATTGCACACCCCACCCCACCCCACCCATGCAGATACAGACAAATCCCTTAGGAAAAGGCAGATTTAGAGGATTAAAAAGCTGAATAGTTGAGTTACGTTTCTATATAAAAAGTATTAAAAAAATAAAATGTACTCCAAGAACTTTCCAAGCAGCCCCATTTAAGCACTGAGCATCTGCAACACATGTTGCTGCTGTGGATCGACAGGCGGAAGAGGCACCTCCTCAGACTCCGCTCCAGAATTCCATGGGAAGAATGACGTCTTCGGCACAGAGCAGGTCTAAACCCTTGTTGGGGAGAGAAGTGCTTGTAAGCAGAAGGATCCTGGAACACCGGCAATTGCAGGGAGAGAAGCGCTTCCTGCTGTCTCGGGTACCTCTTACTCCAGAGCAATGCCAACGGAAGCCAGGGCTTCTGTGGCCCACTGCGGGTAGCTCTCTCTGTTGCTGTACATGGTCTTCATGAAATCCTGGACAAACTGTGGGAACCTTTGCTTAATTATGCTCTCCCGGATCGAATGCATCAGGTTCAACTGTAGCAGAAAAAGAAAGACTTTTTCCCCATCAGGTGCACACCTTTCTTCGGCATCTCAGCCAACAGGAACAAAACCCAAACAATGGGGGGGGGGAGCCCGAATCCTTTGATGTAACACTCCTAACCCAACTCAAGTTTTGGCAGCAAAAAGTCCCATTAACACTGCAAACCTAGAACTGGAGCTGGGATTGGTTAGGATCTTCATTATGGACACTGTGCAAAGAGATGCTTGAAGGTGACGCTTCAAACCAGCCCAGGGCTGCACCCACCCAGCCACCCAGGAGAAAGCGAGCCCCAGGAACTCTTGTGCTGCAGGGAGCACATTGCTCCAGGATACAGAAAATCCTGGGCTCACTTTCTCCAGTGTGGGTGTTGGTGCGCTCTCTGTCCCTCTCTCTCTTTTTGTTTCTCTCCCTCTTTCAGTTGAGGTGTGAGAGCTGGAAACGAGGGGCTGGGGAGCTGCTCCACCCCACTCCAGGCTGCTTCCCTTGCAGCCTGACATTCTTTCCTTCCTGTCTTTCATTTCTCTCTCCCCATCTATTAGGTTTTCCCCAGGTTCTCCCCCTCCCCCCTTTCCCCATCTATTTGCTTTCTTTCCACCTTTCCCTTCCTTCCCTCGCTAAAATAGCCCTAGTTAGGGTTGCCAGGTTCCCCTTGGCCACCTCTGGGGGATGAGGGGAGGGATGGCCCAGTCCAGGTTAAGAAACTCCTGGAGATTTGGGAATGGAGTCTGGGGAGGACAGGGACTCTAATCTGGGAGAACCGGGTGTGATTCCCCACTCCTCCACTTGCACCTGGATGGATGACCTTGGGCAAGCCATAGTTCTGTCAGAGCTGTCCTTGAAAAAGAGCAGTTTCTGTCAGAGCTCTCTCAGCCCCGCCCACCTCACAGGGTGTCTGTGGTGGGGAGGGGGAGGGAAAGGAGTCTGTAAGCTGCTCTGAGACACCTTTTGGTCGTGAAGGGTGGGGTATAAATCCAGTCTCTTCTTCTTCTTCTTCTAATCAGAGAGCCAGTTTGGTGTAGTGGTTAAGTGTGCGGACTCTAATCTGGGAGAACCGGGTTTGATTCCCCACTCCTCCACTTGCACTTGGCTGGATGAGCTTGGGCAAGCCATAGATCTGATAAGAGCTGTTCTTGAAAAAGAGCAGTTTCTGTCAGAGCTCTCTCAGCCCCGCCCACCTCACAGGGTGTCTGTGGTGGGGAGGGGGAGGGAAAGGAGATTGTAAAACTGCTCTGAGACTCCCTTGGGTAGTGAAGGGCGGGGGAGTGATCCAATCTCTTCTTATTATTACTGTTTTAAATGTTTTACTATACTATCAAATGTTTCTGCTGATTTTCTGTAAGCTGCCCCGCGCCTGCCTAGGCTGGGAGGGCGGGGTATGAATCTGATTAAATAAATAAATAAGTGATGTCCCCATACTGTACTGGCAGGACAATATATATGAGTTGTATGTGCAATAGTTGCTTATGCACAAATTTATACAAGCTGAAGGCCTGTCTCCTCTCACGTGCTCCTGCCCCGGCAAAGAAGTTTGTCTTGTGGGTAAACGAGACGGGGCCTTTTCAGCGACAGCCCCACGATTCTGGCACCACCTCACTAGAGAGGTGTGCCTGGCTCTCCCCCCACTCTTTTTTTAAAAATTATTTTTATTAAAATTTACAAATGTTTAACAGAGCAAGACAAACATTGTCAACTTGGTGAGCGACGTTAAGAAAAGCATTCTAAAAAAACACAGTTCAATAATACTTTTTAACGTGCCCTTATACTATTTAGTTGAGTAGTGCTAATTACATAGATATTTTGTATCGGGAGGCAATTCAAAGAAATGGACTGAGCTGACTAAGTACCGAACTTTGACTATGAAAAGAATGTTAACTGCTTTTTAACTTTATATCAAGAGGTCATTTCTCTCTAAAAAATGTGACAGTTTTTCCGATGGATTGTACAAATCCCTCTCATTACGGCTCTCGTCGAAGAAGACCGTACATTTTTCTAGTAAAAAGTAATCCCAGACTATGGCGTACTACTCTTGATCTTTAGGAGGCAGCTGAAGATGCGTTTTTTAATTCGGGACTGCATCTGGTTAAGATCGCTGGCGGTCTTGAGCAATGTTCCCTCTAAGCTGTGGAGTCTTGTGAGCAAAAATTCTACTTGGTGAGCTACTGGCATTACAGTTGTGAGCAAGCAATTTGGCTACTTCATAAACTAGTTTGCTCTGGAGCCATCCTTCCTGAGCTAAGACAAAAACGTGTGAGCCGGAAGCTAAAAAACTGTGAGCTAACTCACACCAACTCAGCTTAGAGGGAACACTGATCTTGAGTTGTGATTTTAAATTTCGGGTTTTACGTTTTTAGTGTTGTTTTATTCTGCGTGTTTCGTATCTACGTCGTAAGCTTCCTCGAGCTCCGTGAGGAAGAAAGGCGGCTGATAAATGTTTGAAATAAAACAAGTTAATCAAATTCTTCACCGTTTATGTTTCCAAAATTAATGGGGAAGGGGGGTAGGAGAATAGGAATAACCGGGCCTGGACTGGATGGGGGAGGGAATGGAACATGGCAGGAAATCAGGGCCGATACTGGCCAACCATGTCCCTCAATGGCAGCAACTCTGGAAGAAGAGGAGATTGGATTTATACCCCGCCCTTCACTTCCCAAAGGAGTCTCAGAACAGCTTCCAAACTCCTTTCCCTTCCCCTCTCCTCCCCACAACAGACACCCTGTGAGGTAAAAGAAGAAGAGAAGAGATTGGGTTTATACCCCGCCCTTCACTACCCAAAGGTGTCTCAGAGCGGCTCACAAACTCCTTTCCCTTCCCCTCCCCACAACAGACACCCTGGGAGGTAGGTGGGGCTGAGAGAGCTGACAGAAACTGCTCTTTTTAAAGAACAGCTCTTACCAGAACTACGGCTTGCCCAAGGTCATCCAGCCAGGTGCAAGTGGAGGAGTGGGGAATCAAACCCAGTTCTCCCAGATTAGAGTTCGCGCACCTAACCACTACACCAAGCCAGTCACGTCCCTCTGCCCACTCCCTCCCCATATCACACCTGTGTGCAACCTATAAATGTGCTGCCTTCCTAAGGGCCCGAGCTTTCCTGTGACCTTGCCAGTAGGAAAAACGCACACAAGCATTTGAATTCTGGCACTGTGCAGGAGGGTTGGACTAGATGACCCACGGAGTACCTTCCCATTCCATGTTTCAGAGTTTAAGGATAGGTACAGCTCTGAGGCCACAGACAGTGCAGAAGAGGGACTCACCTGATAGGCGATATTATGAACGGTCACGTGGTGCATGGCAGCCGTGTCGTGGCGGAAGAGGGCGTGCAAGAAAGCCCGGCTGTATCTGCAAGAAGACAAACGGGGGAACAAAATATGGTCGTGTCCAGAAGCCCGAGGAAGGCGACTAAGGATCGAGAGAAGAGAAACTGACTTGTTTTTTCTCGTGAGGCATCAAGAAAGGCCAGAAAATGGGACCCAACATCAGCCAAGGTAACAACAGTCACAAACAATGCTCCCTCTAAGCTGTGGAGCTCCAGAGGAGCTGGTTGGCCACTGTGTGAGACAGGATGCTGGACTAGATAACCCTCACTGTTCTGATCCAACAGGGCTCTTCTTATGTTTTATGTCCATACACACATGTTCATCTGGAACCATCGCCATGGTGAGCAAGCAGCAAGGAATAAAGTAGAATGGGAAGCAATTACAAATACAGACTGTAGCCCAGCACTTATCACTGCTAGCCTGATGGCCAAACAGCCTTCCCTGCTCAGAGGCACAGTGTCAAAGGCCAGCAACACAGGAGGTGCCACCCCTACTCTCCGTAAGGACACAGCTGCTTCCCTGCCCTTCTCCCACAAAGTCGCCCTGGGATACATTGGACACAGTGGGGGTAAGCTACCCTCTGGCGCCACCCCTACTCTCCATAAGGACACTGCTCTTCCATGCCCTTCTTCCACAAAGTCGCTGTCATATAAGTTAGTCTGTGCTAAGTGAAGGCTCAGATTCCTCAAATGAAGAGCTACCTGCTAGCCCTCAGCCGGTAATTGAACAGTCAGCTGCAGCTGGCCCTAAGCCAGGAGAACAACAAGAGATCAGCCTACACCTTGTAGCTCTGAAGCAGTAAACAAGTCTTCAGCAGCCACTCCCAGCCCACCTAGCTCACCCACACCCTTGCAGCACTGATGCTGCCAGAGACTCTTAGAGTTGCAACAAAGGAGAAGTACCAGACTCATGGTCCATCGTCAGCTGTCAACTGGAGAGACAAATGAGTAGTTTCAGGATGACTGCCAAGGGTGTTAAGATTTGGCTATAAATTCAGCTGGGAGAAGCAGCAGTTCGTGGATGCAACAAGTACGTTTTGCTACTAAGCCACCAACCTTGCTGCTACTGGACCTCTGCAAACTTGAACCTCGGAATGGACCCGGCAACCGGCTGTTCTGGAACCCCTGACCTCGGACTGTACTTGCTGCCTGTAACTCCTTGACCCTAGACTGGGCTTTAGTAAACCTGCTCTCTGGAACCCCTGACTTTGGACTGGACTCTGGTTACTCTCTGCAACCTTGCCTGTGACCTGCCCCGCTGGACCCTGGGGAAGCTGCACCAGTACATTTCGCACTGGGAAACATTGGCCACAGTGGAGGTGAGCTGCCCTCTGGCCCAGCACTTCACTTGGCCTGTAGGGGGCTCTTGAGGAAAACGGGACGAGCTGCAAGTGGAGGGCTCCCCCGTGGCCTCCGGGGCATTCACCTCTGGCACGTGGGGCATCCACAGTTCTCGTCAATGGGCCTCAAGTCCGTGGCGTACTGCTTGTTCTTCAGCTGCAGGGAGCCAGCGGGGATCAAGGCCGACCCAAAACGCTGCAAGCGGAAAGAGCAAAAGAGGGTCAGTGGATTTCGGGCATCTTTACCGGAAATCTCCTCGGTTTCTTTGGCTCTCTAGGAATTCTCACGGACATCACCATGGCCCCCAGTCTAGTTGACAAGTCCCACTGAGTGGGGGAACAGCCCTCTCTTCCAGCAGTCCCTTTCCTGCACATGAGGCGGCTACTTACCGCAGTCCTTGTGGGGAAGACGCAGTCAAACATGTCACAGCCCAGGGCCACGCACACCACCAGGTCCGTTGCGTAACTTCGTGGGAAAGAGAGCACAGACACGGCTGTCAGGCAGGCAGCCAAGGAGTTGCCCAAGGGGCTTGCCCCACCCTCTGCCTGGGCCACAGTCCACCCGAAACCAGGCCACGGGGGTCCCTCGGGGCAGGGGGTGAGGACACGGCGCTGCCACTGCCTGGGCACGACTTCTGCTGTCAAGTCATGGCTGACATGGCAACCCAACACGGCAAGAGATGAACAGAGGTGGCTCGCCGGTGCCTTCCTCCGCGTAGCGATCCTGGACTTCCTTGCTGGCCTCCCATCCAAATTCGGACCAGGGCCGACCCGGCTTAGCTTCCAAGATCTGAGAAGATCAGGCAATCCAGTCCAGGGAGGGGACAACTACCTGCCCTGAAAACAAGCCCAGGGGATTGGGTCACTGCAGAGGGCAACATACAAGGGGTTGCCTTCCGCTCATCAGACCCTGGGATGGTCAGGGCCGAGGTGGTGTAATAGTAATTAAATATTATTGTATGGCTTTGTCTGTAGTATAGCCAGGGGATCCTAAGATTGTCTGGCAGCCAGAAGTTCTAGTTCTTTAGTGTTATGCACCACTAGGTGGCAAGCTAGACTTGTTTTTGAGGCAAGAGACATTTCAGAGGTGGTTTGCCCTTCCCTGCCTCCGTGTCATGACCCTGGTATTCCTTGGAGGTCACCCTTCCAAATACTAGCCAGGCCGACCCTGCTTAGCTTCTGAGATCTGATGAGATCAGGCTAGAATGGTTGGACTACAAGGTTCAAGTCCCTCACCTGACCATGGAAGCCTGCTGGGTGACCTACAGCACGTCACGCTCTTTCAGCCTCACCTTCCCTCACAAGATTGTTGTGAGGATTAAGTGGAGGTGGGGGGGGGGAATGCAAAAAGCTGCTTTGAATCCCAGGGTAAAAACTGGGATGTATATAAAAATAAGACGGATAGCTGTCTTAGTCTATCTGTAGCAGTAGAAAAGAGAAAGAGTCCAGTAGCACCTTAAAAATGGAGCTGCGGTGGCTCAAGTGGTTAAGACGCTGAACTGCAGGCTGTGGAAGGTCGGTAGTTCAGCAGTTCGAGACCCAAGCATGCCGCATGACGGAGTGAGCTCCCGTCTCTAGTTCCAGCTCCTGCCTACCTAGCAGTTCAAAAGCAAGAAATTGCAAGTAGATAATTAGGTACCACTTCAGTGGGAAGGGAACAGCATTCCGTGCGCCTTGGTGTTTAGTCATGCCGGCCACATGACCACGGAAACGTCTTCGGACAGCGCCGGCTCTTCGGCTTGGAAACGGAGATGAGCACCGCAACCCTAGAGTCAGATTCGACCGGCTTTCAAGCAAGGGAACCTTTACCTTTACTAGAACCTTAAAGACTCACGGAAGCTCCTCCCCCGCCACAGGTTTTATTAGTCTTTAAGGTGCTCCTGGACTCTTCCTCTTTTCTACTGTATATAAAACTGAGCCTTTGGGGAGGGCGGGAAATAAATCCAATAAATAAATAAAGTAAGTAAATCAGGGCCGTTTCAAACCACCATTTGTCGATTGAAGGTATCTGATGCTTTCATTCCAGGCCGCCAGGGCCCCCAAGGTGGTGAAGTGCCAGGGCTAATAGGGAGCGGCGCTGGTGGCAGCAGCCCGGTCAGACCCCCGGAGGAAGAGAATGGCCCCTCCCTCCTGATTCGTCCTCCTACCCGACTCCCATGAGGTAGCGAGGCTTGTCCCGGGGCAGACGGCCTGTGCTGAGGGCCACCATCCTCCAGAAGTGGTCCTTGGCTTCGCCACCACTGAGGCCCCCGATGGCAAAGCCGGGCACCTCCCGCTTGGTCATCTCTGGCAGGGAGAGGAGAAGGCGGTCATGACTGCAGAGCCTCACCTCCCGGGAATCCCCCCCCCCCCCGGGAAAGGGCACGCCCCCAGCGCCAGGAGGGGTTTTCCGGAGGGGCAGCTACTGCAAACCTCAATGAGGTTTTTACAAAGTTACTATTAGTCCACTGATGTCGACACCCTGTCACCTGGCCCACAAGGCTGTCGGCCAGTGTTCCCTCTCAGCTGAGTGTGAGCCAGCTCACAGTTTTTTTAGACTCCAGCTCATACATTTTTGTCTTAGCTCAGGAAGGAGGGCTCCACAGCAAACTAATTTATGCAGGAGCCAAATCGCTCGCTCACTTTAATGCCAGTAGCTCACAAAGAAGAATTTTTGCCCACAAGATTCCACAGCTGAGAGGGAGCATTGCCGTCGGCACAGCTACAGTCTCTGCACAAAATGTGAGAATTCCGACTGTGAGCTGGAGGCTAGAAAACTGTGAGCTAGCTGTGAAAACTGTGAGCTAGCTCACACTAACTCAGCTTAGAGGGAATACTGCTCAGGATACCAGACTCCCCTCGGCCAAGACAGGCTCTTGGAGCGGGGCCCTCTCCAAAGGCACTGGGGTTTCGGGAAGATCTACTAAAAATTGTTCTTATTATACCACTTCAGACTTCTTTCTGTTGGTTTAACGGGAACCCTTAACACACACGCACACACTCCCCCTTCAGACTGGGATCGAACACTCAGGGACTGAATCCGACTGAAGGGAGATCTGGCTCCTTTCGAATGCTCACACCGCAAATATTTTGTGTGCCTCGAAGGTGCTGGTGGACTCAGGTCGAGCTCTCCTTTTGCAGACGATTTCCCTACCTCCCCCGTTCAACAGTGGGGAAATTAGACATATTTAAGCAACGGACATACCCTTGAAGACCCTGGACCAGGCAGCAGGTCATGTGGGAGACCTCCGCCTGAGACCCTGGAGAGTCCGAGTAGACAAGACTGACCTCGGTGGACCCAGGGTCTGATTCAGTAGAAGGCGGCTTCATGTGTTCAAGGTCTGTTGTCTATGACTGCACTATACACAAAAGTTATTCTCTAACGCTGCAGATGGTCTTTTGCAAGAGATCTTCATACGACGCATGAGTGTTCCCTCTAAGCTGAGTCAGTAGTTTTTTAGCCTCCGTCTCACACATTTTAGTCTCACCTCATAAAGGATGGCTCCAGACCAAACTAGTTTATGCAGTCGCCAAATCGCTCGCTCACAACTTCAATGCCAGCAGCTTAGAGTAGAATTTTTGCTCATGGGACTCCACAGCTTAGAGGGAGCACAGGACTGAAAAGTCCTAGAAGGCCAATTGATAGATCAAGACGGGTGGCTGTGTTAGTCTGTCTGTAGCAGTAGAAAAGGGCGAGAGTCCAGTAGCACCTGAAAGACTAACAAAAATTGGGGCAGGGGAGGAGCTTTCGTGAGTCACTGCCAGTGTTCCCTCTAAGCTGAGTTAGTGTGAGCCAGCTCATAGTTTTTTAGCCTCCAGCTCACACATTTTTGCCTTCGCTCAGGAAGGAGGACTCCAGAGCAAAAGTTTTGCTCACAAGACACCACAGCTTGGAGGGAGCATTGCTCACTTCTTCCTCAAGTGAACAGTGACTCAGGAAAGCTCATACCCTGCCACAGATTTTGTTAGTCTTTAAGGTGCTACTGGACTCCTGCTCTTTTCTACATGTTCAGATTGTAACTTAAGCCCAAGGGAAAAACAGAGGCCAATGGAAGGCTTCCCAAGGCCCGATGCAGAGATGAGTTCCAGCCCACCTTCCTCTGATCTCATCCCCAAACAAAGCAACATCAAACTGTCAACTGGAAGCATTAAGTCACATGGAAGCAAGAAAAGCATGCATGGGGAGGACTTACCTTCCAGGCACTTGGTTCGGAGGGTGGGATCCAGCCCACCTTGGATAATGGCAAACAGATTCTGCTTGTCGGGGGTCCGGTGTGCTGTGATGCATCTGTCTAGCCAGCGAATGGACCTGCTCGTTTTGAGAAAAAGGAACACTCGTGATACCACCCTACAGCCGTCAAATCACGGTAACTGCAACTGGATTCAAACCCAGTAGCAATATGTCTGTTACGTATTGAGGTCACACTGGCCCTGATAAGGTGATTTTATTTGTACTCTTAAGACCTAAACTGGAAGGTACATATTGGCGATATTACTATCTCCAGTATACGTAATTGCTTCTGACACAAAGCCAGATACATTTGTGGCAGCACAAATTTTTTTTGTGTGTCACTCAATTCCAGATTGGAACATTCCATTTTTGGTCCTATTTCAATTGTTCACTGCCTTACAACTGGGGGGCTTTGCTGCATGTTGTATTCTGTACTATTTGACCTCTGAAGAAGGCTCTTGTGGGCCAGAACACGTCCGGTCACATGTGGTTCTTTTTTTGCCTATGTGTCACTTTGATTCTTATGAGACTTTATTTGGGCCCCTACAAGGTTTTTATATGTTTTTGAAATAAACACGTGTACTTTTGCCTATGCCTATTGATGTTTTTAACTTTTGGCCCTTTGCTAGTTTTCTAAACTTTCTTTGCAGGATTTTGCTCGGTTGGTTTAGAGAAGAGGAGATTGGATTTATACCCCACTCTTCACTTGGAGTCTCAGAGCGTCTCAAAATCCCCTTTCCCTCCCCGCAACAGACACCCTGTGAGGTCGATGGGGCTGAGAGAGCTCTGGGACAACTGCCCTTTCAAGGACAGCTCTTGTCAGAAGAACTATGGCTTGTCCAAGGCTACCCAGCAGCTGCAAATAGAAGAGTGGGGAATCAAACCTGGTTCTCCCAGATTAGAGTCTGTGCTCCTACCCAGTACACCAAACTGGTTTAGTTTTTCTTCCCATCTCTTTGTGGGTGCAACTTAGAGACCAACACCTCAAACAGGGCTCGGGAGAGGCAGCATATGAATTCCTTTAACAAATACATTTCAGAGGGAAGCGGTGTCTGCCTGCAGGAGGAGAGGTAGAGACCAACAATGTTTTGGGGGCTATGAACTCCACAGAGTCAAATACCCTTTGGCCCTCGAAACCTCATATCCTGAAAATCTTGTTGGCCTCCAAGGCACTACGGGACTCGAATCCGGCTCTTTTATTGCAGACAGACACCGCTTCCCTCGGAAACTACCTTTGTGCCAACTGCAGTTATTGGGACACGAATCTTCCTGCGCCCGTCAGCCCAGATGAGGTCCTCTCAAAGTCCAAGGCACACATTCACAGCCGGGAGAGGAGCGCCAGTCACCTCTGCTGGTGCCAATGCCAACCCTTTGAACTGGCATCAGACACAGAAGCCAGTGACACGTGCCCAAGATGTCCCCTCCGGGCTGTGCAGCTGTGTCCACGTACCTACTGCAAAAACCACTGTGCAGACGGGCCTTGATATTCTGTCCATTGGATATGCAGCAAAAGGCATGGAGACATTTTACACTGACTAGAGCAAAAAGAGAGCCAGTTTGGTTCAGTGGTTAAGTGCGCAGACTCTAATCTGGGAGAACCGGGTTTGATTCCCCACTCCTCCACTTGCACCTGGCTGGATGACCTTGGGTCAGTCACAAGCTCTGGCACAGCTGTCCTTGAAAAAGAGCAGTTTCTGTCAAGAGCTCTCACAGCCCCACCGACCTCACAGGGTGTCTGTTGTGGGGAGGGGAAGGGAAAGGAGTTTGTAAGCCGCTCTGAGAATTAGTAGATACAAATAAATTAGTAAAATTAGTAGATACAATAAGTGAGTTTTATTGTGAAATACGTGAGATGTAATATTATGGGGAGAGTGGAATATGGGTGAGTAGATAGGATTAGTGTATTGTTTCCCCTATGAGATCTTGATGTGTTTAAAATATTGGTGATATTCTACGTTGTATGTTTGTCTGTTTGTGTTTTTTTCTGTCTGTATGTCATTTGAAAATCAATACATATATTGTTAAAAAAACAACAGGGCAGAGAGACTGAAGTCTTCCCCTGATAAGAACATCAGAAGAGCCTTCCTGGATCAGACCAATGAGGGTCCCTCGAGTCCAGCCTCCTGTCTCACACAGGGGCCAACCAGTTCCTCTGAAGCACCAACAAGCAGGGCATAGAGAGGCCGAGGCCTTCCCCTGAGGTTGCCTCCTGGCTCTGGGACTCAGAGGCTGAGTGCCTCTTCATGTGGAGGTTCCTCTCAGCCACCAGTAGCTAGTAGCCACTGATAAGACTTGTCCTCCAGGAGTCTTTCTACTCCTCTTTGAAAGCTGTTTATTCCTGTGGCCATGGCAGGAATCCCACATCCTCTGGCAGGGAACCCCACTTTTTAATCCCTCCCCGTGTCAAGTAGCAAACTCACATTTAGCACGCAGGTTTGGGAGATTTCACTGACAGCAAATAAAGAACACCCTCCCTGGCTAGAAAGCAGGCAGCTCAGAAGGCTCAGGTGAGGAAACCCCACGAAGCCGAGTCGGGCTGGCTTTCGGTGACCCACGGCGGACCGAGGCAGCACAAACCTGAGCGTGGCTTCCTCCACGCGGGGGCCGCTCACCGTGCTGCTGACCACGTCGTCCAACTGCATCATGATGTCCGAGCCTAGGAAGGAACAGGCCAAACGCCCATTGGCAAAAGCCGCTGAGACCTGGGAAGCAAAAACCCACCTGCGTGTAGGGCAAAAGGTTACTCTTGTTTTCACATTTCCTGGGCCCAGACCCAGGGCATGAAAAAGCGTTCCAGGGCTAAGCCTCCTAAGCCCCAAACTCAGTTTAAGCCTGGCTTAAATCTCTGATGCCCACCCTCGTTTTCAGAGTGACAGGTGACTTCTGGTCACCACACCTTAAAAAGGATATTAGAGCTTTGGGAAAAGTGCAGAAAAGGGCAACTCGAATGATAAAAGGGTTGGAACACTTTCCCTATGAGGAAAGGTTAAGGCGCTTAGGGCTCTTTAGCTTGGAGAAACGACGACTGAGGGGTGACATGATTGAGGTTTATAAGATTATGCATGGGAAAGAGCAGGTAGAGAAAGAGGTACTTTTCTCCCTTTCTCACAATACAAGAACTCGTGGGCACTCCATGAAAAATTGCTGAGTGGTCGGGTTAGAACGGATAAAAGGAAGTCCTTCTTCACCCAAAGAGTGATTAACACTTGGAATTCACTGCCACAGGAAGAGGTGGCGGCTACAAGCATGGATGGCTTCAAAAGGGAATTAGATAAGCATATGGAGCAGAGGTCCATCAGTGGCTATTAGCCACAAGGTATAGATAGGGACTCTGGGGCAAGTGATGCTCTGTCATCTTGGTGCTTGGGGGGGGGGGTCAACAGTGGGAGGGCTTCTGATGTCCTGGCCCCACTGGTGGACCTCCTGATGGCACTGGTATTTCTGGCCACTGTGTGATACAGAGTGTTGGACTGGATGGGCCTTTGGCCTAATCCAACATTGGCATCTCTTATGTTCTTATGTTCCGAAAGAAACCTGGACCAAAGGCAGAAATAGCAACCTCCCTGAGGTTTCCTAAAGGCATTGCAATAGCCCCCGAACTTTAATTGCTCTCCCAAACACAAGAGCTGTCCTGCTGGATCAAATGACCCACCCAGTCAAGTATTCTGTTCCACACAACGGCCTGTTAGAGACCTTCCAAGGACATAGAAGTCCAGAAGTCCAGAAGAAGTCCCGGCCGATGCCACCCAGTGCTGGTACTCTGAGGTTTCTTGCCTCTGAACACGGAAGATCCAGTTAGGCTCATCTAGACTCTCCTCCTTCATTCATAGCTCCTCTAATTTGTCCAGTTCTCATTCTAGATGTTAGTGGCCCTCACTACGTCCTGTGGCAGAGAGTTCCACACAGTGTAAATATATGTTGCATTAAGAAGTACTCTCTTATGCCTGCACAGTGGGAACAAGACGCTGGGGCTGAGCGAAATCACATATGGGAAAACAATTTGTGCAGATGGGCCTCAGATGGGATAACCGTTAATATGAAGTAGCAAAAACTCCTCTAATGCTTAAATGGAAGCGATTTACACACATGAACGTTTTGCTGCCTTATACTGAATCCGACCGCTGGTCCATCAAGGTCAATACTGTCTACTCTGACTGGCAGGGGCTCTCTGGGATTTCCAGGCTGAGGTCTTTCACATCTCCTGCCACCTGGTCCTTTTTAATCTGGAGATGCCAGGGACTGAACCTGGGACCGTCGGCATGCCAAGCAGATGTGCTGCCACTGAGCACGGCCCTGTCCACAAATTAGTCGTTACTGTGGGTTTCTCGTAGTCTTGATCTTCAAGGGAGATATGCTACTGACTCAGAGCGAGAAAGGCAGATTATAAATAACTTAAATAAATCAAAAAAGAGAAGTCACAGGACAAGTAATCCTCTAATAAGCTCAACTGGTTTGTAGGTTGCTTCATCTTCCAGGTCTGTGGCTACCTAATGTTATTAACATAGGCAGGAAACCGCGGTGCCAAGGCAGAAATTTCACCGGCTCTTATGGAGGGCGAGGCAGCATTAATCATCCCAACGACCAAACAAGTTACCGAGAGCGTTCTGTATTTCAATGGACTTCTCTGGAGTCAGCAGGATTTCCTTCCCATCGTAGGGAGAACGGAAGAGCACGCCCTCCTCGGTCACTTCGGAGAGCTCCACCAGGGACACCATCTGGAAGCCTCCGCTGTCCTACAGGAAAACATGGACCATGGGGGGAAAAGGGCTCAAAGGCACAGGATGCGTCTGATGAGGTTATTCCCATGATAGATATGGGGAAGCCAAGCTTCCTATGACTGAGCAATTGAGAGGGGTCTGGGATGGGGAATAAAGGCCCCGATCACACAGGCCGGATATCGCGGGGGGAAGGCGTGGCTAATTGCCCCGGAGGAAACTAACGCGTGGCCGCCCGAGCACATGTCCCGGTCGAGGTCCCGTGGTTAGGGGGGAGATGCAGACCAGACGGGTATCCTGCAGCGCGGCACAGAAGCCGCGCCGTGCGATCGCACTAGCAATCGCTCTTTGTGCGCATATGCTGTTGGGTGCTGTTGCGCAACCTGCGGAGATGGGCATTGGATGCCACATAAGTCCACCAAAATGCAATCAGACGCCCACCCTTGGCCCGCGGTTTTCAGAAACTAGTACCTCGTAAGTACTAGTTTTTTAATCTGCACCTTCGGTGGGGAGCCACGGGTTCGCCCGGAAAATCCACCGGACTCCCGTGCCTCTCCCGCGGCAACTTTGCCGTGTGACTGGGGCCAAAGTTTCCTAGTGTTCTGTACATAAACACAAACACACAGGTGTCTGAATTTTCAGCAAACACACACACACACACAGAGCCTTTTAACAAGGTTTGAGTACAGTGGCACTACAAGACCAACAAAGTTTAATTCTGGGTATAAGCTTTCATGTGCATGAGCTGATGAAGTGTGCATGCACATGAAAGCTCATACCTTGAATAAAACTTCATTGGTCTTAAAGGTGCCCCTACTGGACTCAAACTTTGTTCTGCAGCTTCAGACCAACATGGCTGCCCATCTGAATCTTTCTTCCGAAGAAGTGTGCATGCACACGAAACCTTATACCCAGAATTGTACTCTGTTGGTCTTAGAGGGTGCCCCTGGACACAAACTTTGTTTTACTGCTCTAGCCGAGTAAGTTAAACAGGCTGTATGCATATGTGAACTATGAGTATGTGTTTTCATAAACAAACAACAAACAAGGTCCCAAATGTGACGTCTATGCGCATGCAGCCTTTCTTCTCCCCTCATGTTCATGTTTGCAATCGCTTCTTTGGTCTTCCTCTTTGAGTTTCCCCCTCCTGTTTCCCTTCCTGTAGCATCCTTTTTCACATTGACACCCTAGGGAAGTAGAGGAGTGTCTATTTGTCACAGAGGCCAGAAGTTGGCCTGTCAGCAAAGGTTGGGAGGAAGAAAGCCATAGGGTGGGAACCCTGTGAGCAAAGCCACCGAGACCTCTCCTTTGCCAACTGCATCCTGGAGGGGAAAAGTAGTCATAAAGATACAGCAGAAACCTCAAGAACTGTGTATTCCTTCTCTCCCGCTTGAAGATATGATGACTCGGGGGGGGGGAACCTGGAAGGGGGCGTGTGGCATCCTGCTTATTGGGGAGACTGTTTCTCCTTTAAAAACCACTCTGTGTACGTGAACTTAGTAGATTTCCGCTGCCACCAGGAATTAAAAATTCCAAATCTCTCTATTTCTGTAGAATGACCCAGTGTCTGGGCGCTTCAGAGGACTATGTGGCCCCGAGTAAGGACTGTTCTGATTGCTGGGATAAGTTTAAAACAAATAATGATTTATTTATAAAAGAACAAAATATGTTTCTGGGTATTTTTGAACTGATGTTGAAGAAAGAAAATATAACTGACAAAGCTTGGCGTCACACACAGTCTCTCAAACACCAAAACTTCACTGACAGGCTTAGACACTCAGTCTAAACTCTCTTTCCCATATAGCCACACAGGCTAAACTCTCTTTCCCATATAGCCACACAGGCTAAACTCCAATTCAGACTCTCACACAGAATCACCTCAGAGATACCCCTCCTCCCACATTCTCAGTAATCAGCCAATCATATCATACTCATCTCTATCACTCTCCTTACATTACTGCAGTCAAGCTAAACATTTAAAGAAACACACACACTGAGTGTGAACTCGCTCACAGTTTTTTAGTCTCTGGCTCACGGATTTTTGCCTTAGCGCAGGAAGGAGGGCTCCCAGAGCGAAATGATTCATGCAGCGGCCAAGTCGCTCGCTCACGACTTTAATGCCGATAGCTCACCAAGTAGAATTTCTGCTCACAAGACCCCACAGCTTAGAGGGAGCATTGGATTCGGGTACAGTTAGCAACCTCCTGGGCAGTGTTCCCTCTAAGCTGAGTTAGTGTGAGCCAGCTCACAGTTTTTTTTAGCCTCTGGCTCACAGAGTTTTGTCTTAGCTCAGGAAGGGGATGGCTCCAGAGCAAACTAATTTACGCAGCAGCCAGATCGCTTGCTCACAGCTTTAATGGCAGGAGGTCGCCAAATAGGATTTCTGCTCACGGGACTCCGCAGCTTAGAGGGAGTTTTGAACCCAGACCCTGCATCTCATTTTTGCTCCCCCCTGGAAGCTGGCAAACCCCCCCCCCCCATCGCGGCCACTCACCGT